TCCTGAAAATTTGAAAATCTACCTCTTCCATGAAGTGTCCTCCAATTCCCTCAATGCGGAAATTATTTCCCATTTGCAGGGCTCATAAAACACTACAGGTCTTTCTTATAACATATACATCAATGTGCCTTGTAATAAAGACAGGCCTCATCGTTCCTTTGAGATCCAGTCAAGATTATAGCCTTCTTAAAGATAAAAACTTCTACTACCTATTTTTCTCTCTCCTGACAACTAGCACAATCCCTAATAGAGCTCAAAAAATATTGTGGAATTGAATTTTTAAAATTGCAGTCAATAATGGTTTCTGAAAATGATAAACTTTTTACCTGCTTATAGACAATACATACAACCCTAAAATGGAAAATATTCTAGACAAATATCATTCGATATATTACATATATAACACATTGGTATCATCATCATCAAAAGCAGGGTCTTCAAAAATAAAAAGCAATGGTGGAAAATCTTAAGACTGTGGAGGTGATTGCATTTTATTTCCTCCAGATACAGTAAATAACTGAGAGACATAAATTTGCCGCTGAGAGGTTGCGATATAAAGACATTTTGGTCTGGGAGGAAATGTGGAGTTACTGTGGTTTCTTGAGGAGAGGCCTCACATAAAGAAAGCAGTGTTTCAGAAACACTATTCTGGAAAATGAATATGAAACAGATTAAAAAAGAAGAGTGCAGATGCACAATTAGAAGTGGGGCACAGTGATGCCAGGTGAAGCGGACCTGGAGTGGATCCATGGTAGCAGAAATGAGGACAGAAAGGCAAAGTTGAGACACAAGAAGGTAAATTTGAAAGTATAACATGAGTTGATTTAGGTAAGCTACAAAGGCCAAAAGGAGAATGCAAGAATTTTCGAAATCAATTCTATCATTGTCACCAATGTGCTGCCATTAATAGTATAAGATTTCTCTGATGTCACCTCCAACAAAACTAGACTATGGGTTCCCCAAGCACTCTATGCACTTTTTCATTTAGCAAGTTGGAAAAAAGTCTTTTGTCTTTTTCATTCCAGCTAGCCTGGAGCCACTTGCGGCAAGGATCATGGTGTACCCGCCTTTGTAACTCCATGCGCTAGTATAGTGGACATAGCAGGCCAAAGAAGGAGGCGGTGTAGAACTGAACTGATGATAATTCAGTATAAGTAAAAGGAAGAACTCAATTTGCACATGAAGCCAAAGGGTACACTGGGGTGGTAGCTAATACACGTAGATGTGTGAGTAGGACGGTCTTCCAGAAGGGAGTAGTAACACTTCCATTTCAGTATGTTTGCAGCTACAATGCAACCTCTTTAAGGGCAGAGTTCAAAATTATTTTGAATGTTCCACAGCACCTAACAGAGTAATGAACATGCAGTGGATGCTCAATTAGAATTATTTTTTAATTTTTTAAAAGAACAGACAACAATAATTTAGTCTCTTTCACCATTCTTATTTTATCATAAAATATTAAAGTATTAAGATAGAGTCCAAGGTTACCAAAATCATTTGAGATTTTCCCCTATTCATGAATATTCATTCTATGTAGAAAAAAGTACATAAAGAGGTGATGCAATTGAACTCTCAATCTAGAATTGACTAGAGAAAAGTAAAATTAAGGTTCTCCTTAGATCTGGTTCAAAAGAAAGGAAGAAGAATTAGGCTGTAGATTAATCCAGTCAATTAAACAAAGTCTTTCTGAAAATATAAAGCTAAAAATATAATTTGATTGTGAAGATGTATCCTTTCCTCAGTGATTAATTGCTTTAATTTTAAGAGTTTCAGTCATCACGATTTCTGTTCACGCTCTTTAGATCAATCTTGTGGATTCTCCTAAGATCAACTAATTTACTAATGAGACATATTTTGTATTACAAACTATAAGCTATTCAATTAGTGCAGGAGTCAGCAAACGTTTTCTATAAAGGACCAGATAAGTAACTATTTTAGGCTTTGCGGGCCACACAGTCTCTGTCATAACTACTCAGCTGTGCTGTTGTAGAGGGAAAGCAGCCATGGACAACACATAAGCAAATGAGTATGATTGTGCTCCCAGAAAATAACAAAAAAGGCAATTGGCCCTCTTTGGTCCATGGCTATAATTTGCCAACTCATACTTAAGTCCATTATTCTAAATTTTAGTATGAAAATTCTTTAACATACAGGAAAACAAAGAGAAAATCCTATACTGTCATTTAAAGTTAACAATCGCTAACACTTTGCCATATTTACTTCATCTACTTTATTGCTGAATTACCATAAAGAAAATTTCTGTCATCATAAGAGCTTGCCCCTACATATTTTAGCATGTATCTTCAAAAAAAGGACATATTACTACACAACCTAATAAAATTGATAATAATTCCCTCACAGCTCATATTTAAATTTCCCCAAATATTCCCAAAATTATTTCTATAGATGTCTTATTTAAACGAGGAATCCATTTAAGGATCAGGCATTGCACCTGATTGTTATGAATTAAAAGAAAAGTCTCTGTTAATCTAAAACAGCGGCCTCCATCCCTAGACTTCTCCATGTGATTTACTGAGGAAGAGTCTGATTTGAAACAATGTGAGCAAGATCTAGAATCAACACAAGGCAAAGCAATAGAGGCAAAGACAAAAATTTTTGTTTTTGTTATCCTTAGCATATTTACCTCAATTTCTTCTCTATTTTTTAGGGTTTATTTTTATGTTTCATTTACTTTTTTAAACAATTTCTAGAGCTGATTAGGGTAATTTAGACACACATATGAAGCCAGAGGTTCACATATAACATAAAAGCATATTTCAAAGGGTTTCTCTGAAATGTATGAGTTCAGTCTATGGGCGCTGTGTAAAGGAAGGGATATAGAATAGTCAGTTACTTTAATTAGGCTTAAAAAATTCTAGATCAGGAGAATCTACCACCTTTAGTGAAAGACGCTGATTATTTTCTTGAAATAATGGTAATATCTCTTTCAAGAAGATATTATATTATCCCATCTGTGAACAAATACAGAAATGTAGACAGAAAGGATGACATTCTAGAGTTTGCAGTGCCTTATAAAAGGAAGAAAATCCTTTCTCAGGGGAGTCTTGAGCCGTTTGAGAAAATTTCAGCTTACCAGGGAAATTCCAAACAGAAAAATCACTCCAAATTTCATAAAGCTTCCACAAAATGAGAACTGATGGTAGCATGTGTAGGTACACATACCAAATAATGTTCAGAGTAGAAACAGGTGCAGTGAGACTAGAAAGAAGAATCAGCCTTGTGCAGCATGGCGACGCAACAGTGTGACGTGAGGTTACATATGAGGCGGCTGGAAGGAAGAGCTGAGAAAATGTAAGTATAGAAATGAGAGGAGTTTGTGTTGCCTATGTTTTAAAATATCTTAACTCATTGGCATCGGGAAATAGGATCAGTAAGGTGTCAGGAAAAGAAACTGGGCCAACTGAGGTAACAGGAGTACGGAAAGGAAAGGGACTCAAAAGGGACTGACTGGAAATTGGAACAAAGCTGGCATTCCCTCAGTTGAAAAAAAAACAGGATAGATTTAATTAAAGGGAGTTGAATTTATAAAGAACGAAAGGAATTAAGGCATAGAAAAAGACGATAATAAAAGCACTGTGTAGGGGCTGGCCCCGTGGCCGAGTGGTTAAGTTCGCGCGCTCCGCTGCAGGCGGCCCAGTGTTTCGTTGGTTCGAATCCTGGGCGCGGACATGGCACTGCTCATCAGACCACGCTGAGGCAGCGTCCCACATGCCACAACTAGAAGGACCCACAACAAAGAATATACAACTATGTACCGGGGGGCTTTGGGGAGAAAAAGGGGAAAAAATAAAATCTTTAAAAAAAATAAAATAAAATAAAAGCACTGTGTAATACGGTAATCACTGGTCACATGTGGTTATTTAAATTTAAATTAACTAAAATTAACTAAAATTAAAAATTCAGTTCCTCAGCTATAGTAGCCACATTCCAAAGGCTCAGTAGCCCTGTGTGGTTAGTGGCTACCATGTTGGAAAACACCAATAGAGAACATTTCCACATTTCAGAAAGTTCTATTGGACAACACTATTTTAAGGACAATAAAACGAGTAGAAAAGAGAAAAAGGCAGGGAAAGGGGTGAAGGAGAAGGGATGGTGATTCATAAATTCCCTTTCCCTCTTATGCTTAATGTCACTAGTTCTCACGTGACGGTTAAGATAGCCGCTGCTCTGCAACACTGGGGTTCTGCCACACCTCTTCTTCAGAAGGGTGCTGGAGAGGTTGCTGCCTAACGAATGCTCTAGTGGGTTAGGATGGTTGGAGCAGGGCATTGAGTTAGGGGTGGGAGCAAGTGTGGGCTTGGGGAAGAGTCATTCAATGGGTGAAGTGGGCCTGTGAACACCCTAGCACCAGGCCGAGAATTTAAGTCACTTGCCACTGGAGAGCTCCAAGAGTAGGTTCTTTCATCTCTGGTGCCCAATGAGTCTTCAGTCATTCATGGTCATACAATCTTACCACGAATATATTGCTCAAACTAAGTCATAGGTCGACACTCACTTTCTATCTTACTTGACCAATGAGAAATTTGGCCTGACCATCTCCTTTTATTTTACTTATTCACATCAACCAATTCCTATCATAAGCATTGTTATTCATTGCAAGTAAATATAGGCAGTCTATCTCCTTCTGTCTAAGCTCCATTATGAATAGCATGAAATTTCAAACGACTGTTGAACGACCTTCTTTGCCACACACCTGTAGTGAAATGAGAGCATTCCTTAGAACCTCTGACCCTCAGAGATATCCTTTTTTCTGGGATATTTTAAGCATCCTTTTGACCATAATCAACTTCTTGTCAGATAGGTCTCTTGTTCCAGACTGCCATTTCAAACTCCATAGACTTCCTGCCACTCACAATATTTATACCAGACATTGCCTGGTGAAGAGATGATATCCCAAGAATACTTTCAAATGCTGCCTTGTGAGAGTCGTTACTTATTTTCACACAGCTCAGGGCTGCTACGTTGCCATTTGCATGTGTGGGCAGCCAGTCCTTCAGTGTGTTCTCTATGTTCTAATTGGCTCACCACACAGATTCTTGGCTCTGTGCTTGGGAATTGTCACTGACTTTTAACCCACCTCACCTGAAGAGCAGCTTTTTGGTTTCCATTAGTATTTCAGGCACCGATCCTCATCTTAAAAATTATAACAGGATTTTAATCGGTGCTTTTGATTGTTTACTTTTAATCTGGCTTGGTGATATTTTAAATTTTGTTTTACTATATTTGAAAAGAGCAGAATTTTAAAGAAAGAAAAATAATTGGGGAGAGAAGATATTTATTTAGAGAGAAAACAGAGGCTTCCCTGGACTTAGGCTGATCACTTCAAGAGAACTGTGACTTGTGTAGAGGACCTTATAATTGTAAGTATCATAGTTTTGCTTGTTTGACAATGCTTTAAAAAGTCCTCAGTCCTAACGTTAGCAAACTTTCTCTCTCTTAAACAACTTGGAAAATAACTGGCTAGTTCCTAACATACACTGAAATGGAAAGTTTATAATTTTTTACTGTGACCTGAGGGTCTGGCTCTGAGCACGGAGCAGATATGTCCTTTGATTAATATAAGCCTAACTACACTTGCCATTTTAATATGGGAAGGATCTAAAGAACTTGTAAAGAAAGCATAAGGTGAAAAGTCCTTATCAATTGTATACGTCCCCATACTTCTGATCATTTTAAATGCCCGCCACTGAAAACCTTCAGTAAAGGAGTGAATCTTCCAGGCCCCACAGAAGCTGCCTTTCAGCTGGAAGAAGGGTGTGTCCTTAAGCTTTTACCCAGGAGCAATGATGATCTTGTCAAGCATTTTAGTGAGACCAGCCCAAGTTTTTAGGGTGGGGATCTAGACTGGTTATACGTACCTTCAGTCCTTCTCCCAGAGAAGGCAGAAACACCTCTAAGCCTGCATGTAAGAACATCTACTGAGAAATTATTTTAATCAGACACCAGCTGAGTGGGGGAAAGAAAAGGAACAGAGAAGAACAAACAAAACTCCCTTGGCCTTGGATGTAAAAGAACCCAGCAGCGATGGACTGGCACTTCTTCAGAACAGCTGCAGTGCTGTTCATTTGTTTGGTAAGTGGATTCTGTTAAAAAACCTTCATAATCATTCTCGTTGTAAACAAGCGTGAACTTTTTAGAAAATGTTTTTAGTGTTATTTCTAACCTAAATCCATTAAAAGTTTATGTTAATGACAAGGTGATTTTATGAACTAGATTTTTGAAGAGAGTTTCTCTCTTTAATTGAAGACTCCAGATCATATTATAGCATCAGTGTTAACTCATCAGATCACATCTCTGACATGGAAGTCATTGCTAAGTCACGCTGGTAAAATAGCGAATTCGGGAAAGCCATATCACTACTTAGGAGCATTTTGTTGTTCAAATCCTTTTTTTAGCAGGTCAGCTTTTAATCTAATATCACAGGTCTGTCCTGATTTTTAACCTAAACAACTTTCCATTCTTTTGGTATCTTTGCTGATAGATTCACTATAATTTTTAAAACATAAAAATAGGATCCATATAAATTAAAATCATAGCAGTTTGTGACTGACCTCACTATCGAAATAATCTCATCGGTTCCATATATGGTTGGGAGCCATATCACTAATATCAAAAGTCCCACATTGCTAAACTCTGATTTTATTTAAAACAACATTTTTGTATTTCAAGAAAAATGGTGGTATGGGAAACTTATAAATAATATAGTAGGTGAAGGAATGGCTACAATTAAGGAGTAAGCATAATTATTAAGATACTGGCTCTTACTACTGGAAAATCACTAACGACCGATATAAAAGTTGCATGTTTGATGGTCAGACAAATGTAATGAAATGCTTTATCACTGTCCCCCTTACACATCATTAGTTTTCTCTTTTTAGAGATAATACTAAATGCAATGCCAATGTGTGGCATCAATTTCACTTGTGTCAAAAATTTTAAAATCTTAATCTCTCTCACAGCGAGCTTAATATAATCCAAAGAGGCCAGTGCCAGGTAAATTGCCCTCCAATTTGGCAGGATGTAGCGTGTGGTTTATATTTGTTTCTACTTGCTTAATTTTTGAACTGGATTGTTGAGTTTCTGTAAGAACAAGTTAGATCTTTGATTCAAGGTATGCTGGTTAGTTTGAATTCAGTTTATTAATTAAGAGAGGTCATAACCAGTGGTTTTAGTTATAAATGAGCATCAATAAGCTGGTAGCTTTTGTTCCAGGCTGCCCTTCAAACATTAGCCGTATTCCATGGAATTTTTCATGGATCTTTGGGATCAGCTGATAGCATAACTTGGGATGTGGCAGGGATTAACGAGCGTTGTACAGTACGTCATTTGAATACAGGCGCATTTGTGTTCTGCAAAATAATCAATTATTTTCATATAAATTTGATCCGTTAAGGCCTATTATAGTTACAGTTGATTAAAGTTTATTCTGATGTTTATGTACTTTCACTGAATCTATAAAATACCTTATTTCTTTATTTTACAATTATTTCTAATTAATTACATCCTATAAAATTCCTTTAAACAGCCACTTTCTAATTAATCATTCTTCAGTAAAATGTATTCTTTTATCAAAATCATGCATCCTCATCGAACTTTCTCTCTTTGTAGAGAGGTTCCTAGGCATTTATACTTTATTTTCTGAGTCTGGATAAGTTTTTTTGTTTGTGGATTGTTTGTTGCCATATTTTACTCTGGAATCCATCACAAGTTTCTCATACGCCTTATGGAAATTATTTCTCAAAGAACTTATAAGTTTAATTTTCACATTGTTGTAACTTTTTTTGTAAAGCATTTTACTTTCTAAGGTTTGGAAAATCATAATTTATTTTTACTACTGATTTTACCAGATGATTTGAACAAATGTCCTTTAGAGTTATCCAATCCAGTTTTCCTTTAAAATACTTTTTTATTCTGAAAATTAACCACCACTATAGCAAGCTCTTCCACTTACCTCTCTGCTAGCCTCACTATGCATATTTGCTTTAACAAAAAAAAAAAGAAAAAATCTGTGTAAAGTCTTTATATTCTTCTCTGCTCAAAGTGAAAATCTACATTAGGGAGCATATTTGGACAATTTTAAAGATTTTTAAGACATTTAAACAGGTAGCATCTTTATTAATGCAAATCCATTTGCGAGCTGGGCAACCATCTATTTACAAGTAAGTTATGTAGTCTGCTCAATATACCTGAAGATTCTAGACCTTGTTCAAATTAATGAGTTAAATTGGAGAGAATAGGGCTGAAGAATCTGCTCTGACAGCAACCAAGATTTCCCATAACTATTCCATTATTTAGACAAGTCTCTTGGACAGACAATAGCTTATGCCTGTAATGACACTGCAAGCCAAATAAATGTTATTGATCCTGCATTTTTTTTTCCTTTTTTGGTTTCCATGAGATTAGTGTATGGGAGGGGGAGGGGTTAGAGTGTATTCTAGGCCAGAGAATAATGTTACCTATGCACCAAATATAAGAAATCTCTGTGAATGGTTGTGACAATGGCATAAGGTATGGCATGGTCATGTAGGAAAGCAAAATACAACCAGTAGAATTTTTATACTCCTTCTGATTTTTAAAAATTATTTGCAACTTTGCCAGATCTAATTAGTCAACTCAAATAAATGCAAATCTCAAGGTGTCTTTTTCTATAAAGGCCAACTTCTGCAGCTGACACTCAAAGAACAGATAAACCTATCTTATCCATTACCAAGAATGATCCGATTTCGCCAGGTCTTCTCCTTTTTCCACGGTTAATATTTCCTTTCCAAAAATTCCCTCTGACCACCTGATCAACTCCTCGATTTGAACTTACTGAAATCCTTTAGGATATAAGCAGGAGTTTTTCAGAATACTTCTTAGCACTCTGGCTAAAATACATAGGAAATAATATAAACTTTATTATATAGTTCACTCATGTATTTGAACCAGACATCTTAAATTCCCATAATTGTATTTACTGCTGCCTAAAGCTAGAGAAGGACTAGAAAACTAGTACAGACCAAACAGAAGACAAGTAAAGGACAGAATTTTTTATGCTTTCTTGTGTACATATTATCATGATATAAATTATAGATGTTAGTATTTCCATAAAATATTTTATAGAAAATGGAGGCAGTATTTCTACTTACCCAGTAAAATTTATAAATTGTATTTAAGCAAAATCATTTCCATTTATATGGTATTCTTAAAAGCTTTATTATTTCACTGCAGCTTTAGAATCAGCATCTTCTTTTACCTCTATGAAAATACAGAGTTCAAATTTATCATCATTTAATTGGTTTGAGTTGCCATGGAGTAAAAACATTCTGCCATGCCTGATTTAGGTCACAGAAAAACCTAAAGCACTAGGAAATGCTGTGTAGATAAATCTAAAGGCCTGGCCCCTAAGGGACAAGATTCCCCTATTTAGCAAGGCTCAGGAATCAAGAAAAATCACTCTATTGTCTATACCCAGAGCATTTAATTTCTGTAACTCTTTTTCCACTACATATTCTTCAAGGACATTGTTGCTGAGTATCGCTGTGTCCTAACAGATATTGCCTAACCGAAGCAGGAAGCATGCTCAGCAATGCAGTTAGATTTGTTATGCTACCTTCAATGAGGGAACACGCTTACAGAGCGCTGGGTCTTGCCACGCTTGCTGTTATGCTTGGCATGCAAATTCCTTTGATGGACATAGGCAGGTTAAACTTTTTAAAATGCCATTGGCTGCTGATCCATGCTCTCAATTGGTCTATGAGAATAGAGCACAGCCTTACACACTTGTTTAATGAAAAACCATCTCTCCACAAATTAATGGCTGCCTGTTGCTCATAAATCTACTGGACTATAAGTTATGTGAGGGCAGGTTCTGTGTCTGATTCACTTTTGTAGCCTTCATAGTGCCTTGCACCAGTTCAGGATTGCTCAATAGATCTCTAATCACACAAAGTAGAGGCATCAGAGGGGAATTTTTGGATAGCTTATATTTCTTCTGCCCCCCCCCCCCCCCCCCGGCACCCCACCCCCCGCCACACTCCTAGAAACCATCAAGGTACTAAACATGGAAATTATCATGTTGAATTTCCCTAACATTTATTTTTATGGTGTAGTATTACATTTACTTACATTTTGTCTAAGGCTTACCATAATACTTTTAGGGCTTAAGCCCTTTAAAAGTCTTAATCCAGCATTGGATCCACATAATACACATTTGGTATGTATTGGTCAAATGAATAAATAAACCAAAGAACAAGTAAGAGAAACCACCCTATCAAGGTGTTGTCAACTCCAAACTGATAGCTTTTGTCCAAGTAATATAGAGGAAACACAAAAGAGGAAGTTTCTTAAAAGAAGCAAACTATTATATTTTAGCTCTGCCTCGAGTTCTTCCTTGTGATGCATACAACAGTTAAATACATTAGAATTTGACACAACAAAAACTGCCACATGACTCGTGAGGAAGACTACCTCACAATTATTAAATGCAAGAGGTTTTCCTTATAAAATTTACCACTTTTAAGACCGTTTTTATTATATGCAAAGAAATGTAAACCTCAATATCAAAAAACATCTAAAAGTGAGTATAATTAGAGAATCGTTGAAATTAGCAGGCAATTTTGTGTCCTGTGGCTTTTTTTTTAACATGTGGATTGGTCCCTAAAATAGAGATGAAGGGAGGACTCACTGAGAATGCGTTTTAATATCATGTGACACTTGTTCACACCCCATCTGTCTTTCAATCTTCCCTCTCTTTGACGTCTGTGACATTGCATTATATTTTCCTCTTATTTCTTTGGCCACTCCTTTTCTCTCTTTGTTTCCTGTTTGCTGTCGTTGCCTCTAGTTATATAAACATAGGAATTCCCCTAGTTTCAGTCTCAACCACAAGCTGTTTCTTTGCTGTATTTTCTACTTAGGGATTTCAAATTCTCCCATGATTTCAACTCCCCTACCTGAGCAGATGTCCCTCAACTCAGGCCTGAACTATTGTTCATCATGCTGACACACATTTCAAATTGCTGAGTATCTTTACCTGGGCGTTTCTCTGGCATCTCAAACTCAATGTGTTCTAACCTGCTAATTTCTGCTACTGCCTTGTTCCCAATCTCCCAGTTTAAAACAGCCATCACCTGAGATTCTCCCCTGTCTTGACTCTCACGTCTCATTTGTTCTCAAGCCCTGTCAACTTCAGCCACGCAGTATCCCTCCCTTGATCTTTCCTGGTCCGTTCCCACTGTCCCTGCTCTGGTACAGCGACTCCTCATCTCTGGCCCCATTCGATGCAGGAGACTCAACTGCTCGGTGACCTGTAATCGCTGCCTCTTCTCACCACTCCCACCAATTGTCGTCAGAGGACTCTTTTAAACCCACAATTTTATCATGACTTTCCCACGTTCGAAAAACTTCAACAATTTCCTACTGCTCACAGAGATTTGGTGTTAGAATTGGAAAGAGTCTGCTCCTGTCATTTTACAAAGGAGAGAAAGCTCGTTTAGGAAGTACAGTGAAAGTCTTCTGACTCTACCAAATGTTCTTTTTATTTTGCCTTTGAAAGTCCAACAGTAACTTTGTTTCAGAGTTTATTCTAGACACTGTGCAAAAGACAATCAGGTTATGTCAACACAACATAAATTTAAGCAGACTTGGCAGTTTTTTTAATTACTAATCCAATGGAGAGGCTGACACTATGGTGAAAGCTACTTGGTCTTCTGCCTAAGTTGCCTCTCATGGGAAAAAGAATGACCCAGCATCATAAAGTTGGAAGGTGTCTTTGTCATCTGGCACAGTTCTCCAAAACAAACAGCAGGCACTGACACTTCAGTGTGGTGAGGGAAGCGTAAGACAAATAACAGATGCACACGCAGTTCTGTTGCTATGAGAAAACGGCTCTCAAACAGACAAATAATGTGTCCTTACACCCTCACTCACACCCACAATCAAGAGTGAGAAAAAAGTGCTCACCAGTTCACAAGTAGCAAGAAGTACACATTGTATTAACATCATTTCAACTCTATGCCAAGAAGTACTCTACAACATTTCCATTACTTGTCCAAACCATTTGAGCCATTTACTTTTCTTTTTTTACCCTAGTATTACTATTATTGCTGTTGTTATTATTGTACATAAGCATTCCTAATCACAAGGATAATATGAGATTAGATTAAAATCAGAATGTTTTTGAATTCTCCAAGTTGTAATGTCAATTCTTTTCAGTATATTTTACTTAGTAATTTACTTGGAATAGGCTATCTTAGACTTTTTTGTAAAACCCACACCTCAAGCACAAATTTAGGATGAATTGTGTTAGATTGTATTTAGCCATAAATTAATATCCAAACCTCAATTTCCTCATCTGTAAAATGGAAACAGTTATAGTACTGGCCACACGTACTTATGAAATTGAATGCATGGATTTCTCTAAACACATTGTCTAGTACTTAGTTATCGTTCAGTGAATTGTAACAGTGATAATAATAATGACTAACATTACCTATATACCATGAGTATATAATTCCTATAATGAAAACATTATCTCTTCATATTACTCATATTAACCATAAATACACATTTTCCTGAATTATCAATTATGGCAATTTCTAAAAATATGAACTTAGAGACTAAAATTTTATTTTTATTTAATGGTGACATCAAAACTAACTATAAAAAGCAAATTGCTATATTTTGAGATTACTATTATAAGTATTTTTTAAAGAGAAAACTATAATTTTCTTTTATCAATGGTACTGATAAAGTCTAATTGTGATAATGGTTTTCGTACTTTGCAACTCTGAAAAAGTTCCATTAGAAGTTGAAAATTAAAAACAACAACAAACAGTCACATAGAGACAGATTAGATTGGTGGTCACCAGAGGGGAGGTGGGCAAGAGGGGTGATTAGGCACATTTGTGTGGTAATGGATTGTAATTACTCTTTGGGGGGTGAACATGATGTAATCTATGCAGGAATCGAAATATAATGATGTACACCTGAAATTTTTATGTTATAAACCAATGTGACCGCAATAAAAAAAGAATTAAAACAAAAAGAAGTTGGGACTTACAACTAGGATACATACAACGATGCACGGGGGCTTCGGGTAGGAAAAAAAAGAGGGAGATTGGCAACAGATGTCAGCTCAGGGCCAACCTCCACACACACACACACAGTTGAAAATTTCTTATTTAGGGAGAAATAAAAGCTAAGGATTTATACCATCTTTAATTGATTTTAAGTGTAATTTAAAACTTAATAAATGCAAACTAGCCTTCAAATCCACACCTCATTTTTTAGATAGATATTTTACAATGTCTTAAGTATACTGATATATTAAACAATATATGTCTGTGTTTTTAGAAATACATTTGGTTTTTAGAGAAAAGTAATTGAAATTATACTGAGTTTTTCACTACAAATCGTGTGTAAAGATCAAGGCCAGAGCTGAAACCAGGCAGAGCTCTGCCTGACCAGTTCACGCGTTTGCCAGAGAAATTGTTTAATTCAGGAGAAAAGACTAATAGAAGTTGCTTACCCAGCAATTTGTCCCTTCACTCCCGCACTTTCTTTTCCTTTTTATGGAAGGATGCATTTATGGTATCTATTTTGTTTGGTGCTAACAGTAAAACATTAACTGTGAACTCATTTTTACATGAAGGAAACTATTTACTTTTTATTTTAGAACGTTTTATTCTCATCTTTCAAAGCAAGTAAAAAATATCATCAAGATTTTCAAGAATCTTAGAAAAATCTTCCATCTAGAATTGGAATGTGAAGGAGCAAATATTCTGAAGCTTTCTAGATACTTTCTCCTTCATATCCTTTCTTTACTCCAAAATATTTTTTTTTCTATTTCCATCTGTGTCTAGTCTGATTCGGAAACTAAAGTCAAATGTTTTAGCATCATGAGTTATTGCTGAATATCACTGAATAGCATCAGAGTATCTCCAGCTCTTCAGTCACAAGATTTACTAGGAGAGTCTGAGTTCCCAACCTTCGTTCTCCCTGAGTTCTTGCTTCAAATGTCCTAGCTCATGTGATTACAAGTATCTGCAAAGACTAAGAATAAAAAAGAGGTTAAAAAATAAAAGTAATAAAAAAAAAGAAGAGCAAAATTGAAAGGTAAAAAGCAAATGGAAAGGAATCCTTAGCATCATTATTTTCAGATCTGAGGGATAAACCAGATCCACCTGCTACTGGACTGATAAAATGATTCTAATACCTCACAAGACTATTGTTTGACTTTTTTAAAGCAATAGGATAACATGAATTGTAAACCATTCAATTAAAAATTAACTACTATGATTATCTTATTTTTATAGGTGGTGGTGGAAGTTAACAGTGAATTTCGAATCCAGGTAATACATAGCAAATCTATTTTTTTCAAATTAAAAACAAGGAAAATGGTTTGGGAGTAACAACATATTTTCCAAAGAAAATTCATCCTTACAAGTAAATTTAATGTTATGCTAAAAGTAATAGATTATCAAAATTGCCAATTTTCTCAATTAAACAACATTTCTTTCTGACATTTCAATTACCCCCCTCCTTCAAAACCTCCAGTGGAATGTGAATTATGAATAAAAGTTAATAGATAGTATTACTTTATTCTACCCATTCAAGGTAAGAGATTATAATACTAAAAATGGCACCATCAAGTGGCATTCAATCAGAAGGCAAAAACGGGAATGGATCAAGTTCGCTGCAGCCTGTCGTGAAGGTGAAGACAACTCAAAGAGGAACCCAATTGCCAAAGTAAGTATCAACCCCAAAGCATAAAATCATAAATCAGAATGGACAAGGTTAAGGTTTCAAAAGAACCTGTCTTTTAAATACTTTATGAACATATCTCACTGAGAAGTTATGGTAAAGAGCTATTGTCATTAAGATTATGAAAACTGAAGCCACTGAAAGGATACATTAAGAAACGTGGGCGCTCAGGTAAATAGTTAAACATTGACTGACCTCACTTGTGAAATCAATACACCTGATCATGTGTTACTGCAAACTCTAGGTGAAAAAACTATAGTGATTGAAAGAATGAATTTAGCACTCAGCACACGCAGAGGAAGTATTTCAATGTATGCTCTTTCTGCCTCACAATCTATTAGAATTGAATTCCTACTTTTGGCTTGTTTATAAACATTCACAATGTACCCTCTTTCATACACACTTTTTCCTTTCATTTTCCCTTGTCTTCCTTTGTATACACACACACATACATACACACACTCAGAAACACATTGCCACATGCAGATTCACACCCATACAAATATATGTGTATTATGCATATATAGATATACACATAAACATGCATACAGATATACACAGAGATTCATCAGTAGTATTTGCTGACAGTCATTGAATATTTTATTTCAAAGAAAGAATCCTGGTTTCTATAACCATTTATTTGGGATGGTCTCCTTACTTTTCTGCTAATACGTCCCCCCCATTTTCAGAATTAAGAGCTTCTACACAGAGTTGGATAACGCTTGTCAGGTACATAAATCCACTTAAAACTTTCTTCTAAAACTTTCCGTTTTAAAAAATTTTTGAATCATAAGATCCTAGTTACATAACAACATTGGTAAACTCTTTAAGAGGGCAAGGAGTTTCTACTCTAGGCTCAGTGCTAGCATAGAGCCTGAAAATAATACGATCAAATTGTAAATGTTGAATGAATGAATGATTTAGACTTCGATCTATTAGAGTGATATTTTACTTTTTTCTTATTTGGTAGAAATAAAAATTGAATTTCTTTTATTCCATTGTCAGTTCCATTGAAAATTCCAGAGCTGTAATTATTCTACTTATCTAGGAAAATGATTCCCTATTTCTAGCATTTCGTAAAAGATAACAGGTGCTCATATTCAACAATTCTCAAGAAAGACAGCTGCCGTATATCAAACATAGCACTCTTTATTTGCTCCCCGTAATATTTTCACTTGTACTTTTTCTGCAGATTCACTCAGATTGTGCTGCAAACCAGCAAGTTACATACCGCATCTCTGGAGTAGGAATTGATCAACCACCTTATGGAATCTTCATTATTAATCAAAAAACTGGTGAAATTAATATAACATCCATAGTTGATCGAGAGGTCACCCCTTTTTTCATTGTAAGTGGGCTCCATGTCAATATATATGTTCAGGCCTAAATTATCTTTGGATAAGCTCAGAGTCTAAATATTAGGCATTTTTGATTGTCTCTTAAAATTCATGAGCATCCCTTGACTCAAGAGAAACAAAGAAAAGATTGAGAGAGAGAAGAGAGTTTTGCTTAAGTGCCTTAGCAAAAATGCTAATATCTGGTCTGTCCCAATGGCAAGCTAAAATATTTGTTTAGAAAGGCAAGAACCTAACTTTTACTTCTTTTTATTTAATTCGATTGAGAATGTTGGTTCCTTTTAACTCCAATGTCAAGTGATGATTCTGGAGCTACTAGGGTAACCTTTTCTGAGTGAACATACCTTATAATAAATTCACACTGCTCAGGCTTACCTGAGCTCAGAACGTACCTTAGAAATACTTTAATTCATTCTTACTGAATTTCCCTCCATTCTTTACTGTGGCTGTGACAAAACTTCAAATCCTCAACCTCATTTCCACTTGCAACAGCTGACCTGGTGACCAACTTCATTAGAAAGTCTGAGGCCCCCCCATCACAAACTCCCACAATTAATTCTCTCTCTTCTGGTTCAAAAATGTTCTGCATTAAATCCCAAACAGGATCACTTTTCTGCTTTTTCCCACAGCTTCTCCCAAGACATTTCCATTGTCCCATAATTACCTGTTTCTTCAAAAACCTTATTCCATCAACTTTGTTTTTTCATCTCTCTCCTGCTTGTCCATTGGCTGCTTCTATTTCCATCTATCATCATGGCCAACCCTTATTAGTACTTAAAAAATAAAGAAAACCTTCCTTGATCTTGTCACCTCTTCTATTAAAACCCTATCAATCCATATCCCAAAACACCTTCAGATAGTAATCTATGCTTGCTGCTTTCACTCATACTGCTTGTCTTTATTCCTCAAACTACTTTAATTCCAAGTCAATATTCCTGCCTAATCTCCTACAAATTCTAAATCAGCATGCCAGCATGTTAGCTTTTCTTGAAGCACAATGCATTTTTATATGAAATATACCACACAGGTAAAACAGTATACATTACACTTATGTATACTACAAATATGAATAATAATAATAATAATAAGACAACACCCACATAGCCCCACCTAGCTTATGAATGCTATATTTCTTTGAAGCTCCCATGTGACGCTCCCTTACCACATCCTCAAACTCCCAATAGGCCCTAGTCCTAATTTCAAACAATGCATGTTCATCACTCTATTTCTTTTCTCACATGAATCCCTTTACTTGGAACACTCTGGCAATTCCCCTCCCCACCTGTCGAAATTCTCTTTCATCTGTCTCAATCATTATATCCTAATATGAAGTCATAGTATTTTGTTCTTCCTTTACATAACTTATCGTGTTACCTTTTCTGAAAGAGCATTTTGAGTTTGTGTTTGCCTCCCCTTATTAATTATAAGTACTGCTTGTGCCTACATTCTGGTAGGAAATAATATGTCTTACTTTTCTTTTAGCTACCCACAATACCTAGCATAGTGCCCAAACAAAGTAAGAACTTAATAAATATGTGGTGCGCCATATAATTATTCCTCTTTTCTCTCCTAGATCTATTGCCGGGCTCTGAATTCAATGGGTCAAGATTTAGAGAGGCCTCTTGAGCTCAGAGTCAGGGTTTTGGATATAAATGACAACCCTCCAGTATTTTCTATGTCTACTTTTGTAGGACAAATAGAAGAAAATTCTAATGCAAGTAAGTTATCTATTTTATTACGGAAACAAGAGTATATTGGCTTTCAGATCATTGTTAACAGCCAGGCAACTAGAGGCTAAACTATGTCAAGGTACCACATCACCAACGTAAGAGATGAGTACAGAAAAACATGCAGAACAGAAAGGCGTGACGAAGTCTCCATAATGACTTTCCCTTCCACTATGGAAGCAGCTCCAATCTGTCATACACAAGGAGCAACTCCAGTGTAACAAGGAGGATTTTCTTATGTAACCCACACAGCAGCTCTGGAGTAGATTCCTAAGGAGAAATTCCAAAAGTGCTTTGCACAGTGGTGGCAGGGGCACTGGGCATTTAGCCTCCCAGCCTGACTGCTGTGAAGGGCAATCTCATCCATTTCTATTCATACCGCTTTTTTTTTTTCTTCCAATTTTAACTACTTTAACGTCACTCATAAAAATCACTTGCAGGCAATCTACTTTGTGGCCATAGTCTTTAAGAGCTTTTGGTGACAGCAAATAAATGCAAAATAAGCATTGCTTCCCCTTCTTATATATGATTTGATAAATACAGGTTTTGTTTGCTTTTTTACTCAAGTCATTGGTTTTGTGTATTTGAAATGCATTACAAAGCTAATCCTGTTTGGCCCACCATGCATATATAAAGCTGATTGTCTCAAGTGATGCTAGCTGAGGGGCGCCAGAAAACCTATAAACTAGAGAGAGCATTTGCTTGCAACAGCTTTGACAACCTTAAGGTATAGTGGTCTCCTCATGGATTATTGTAAATGGCAACGTTTTAACTGCCAAATATTCAGCCACTTGGGAGGGACAGAATATTAACCGTTTAGCACACCACTGAAGATTATCCTAAATATATTAAAAACAGCAGAGATGATTTCTCATATGAATTCAAAACATCAACTTACCATAGTTCCTTTTAACCTTTAAGTGGTATAATTTCTTAAAAATTAAAAAAATCCTTACATTTTACTTCTCTTCATTAAAATAGTATGTCTACACTCTAAACTTTTAAAAATACCATTCTAAAATTGTTTGTTGTAAAACTTCACACAATATGGAAATAAAAATGGAATAGAAATCTGTTCTTTGTTTTCTCTAGTACCATTCTTCAGAGGCAAGCACCGTCATTAGTTATTTAGGTACATATGTTTTATAATTATATAAAGATATATAAACATGTTTTTCGAAACAGATGGAACCACATTTTACTTACTAATCCCTAATGTGAATCTTTATTTAAATCTATTTTGGACATATTTCCACATTAGGAAATAGGGATGTCTTCATTCCTTGTAACAGTTGCATCAGATTTCATTGTATGAACATATCATAATTAATTAATGAATTGCCTAGTGAAAACATTTAAAAAATAATACTGAGATGAACATACATATATACACAGATTGAGAAAGGAGACAGAGGGAGAGATAGGAGATACTCTGGGGCATTTGTGTCTATAGACGGGACAATTGTGCTTGAAAGAGTTCGAGTGTAGAGAAGTATTCTGGTTTATGAACACTGGCAGCTTTTCACATTCTTCAGTGTCCTTCACCAAAACTGCTTAAAAGATTAACAGGAAAGATCAGGGAAAGGACAAAGCACATAGTTAAACACGCATCTCTTTAAGTCCACTAGTTACTTAGCATTTCACGAGGAGCCACGCAAACCAGAACAATAATATATATTTACTGAGTGTGTGTTATTCAATAGGAACTTTATATAATTTTCTCTCATTAAGCTATTTAATTTTCTATGCATTCAATGAGGATGGTACTATTATCATTCCCATTGATAGAAGGGGAAACTTAGATCAAGATCACATGGCTAGAAAGTGCTCAAGTTGGAAGAGAGCTGGTCTGGCCTTAATATCATTTGGTTTCACCACAGGAGCCTTTAAAAAACAAAAAAGAATTATACTAGAATAAGAAATGGAAAGCCAGAATAAAACATTTCTTTGTTACCTAACTACTAGTAATGTCTAGGTTCCTAGTAAAACGTGATCTTTTTGTCAAATCAAAGGTCTAGAAAGGAGCTAAGCTATTGATATGTTGAAAAAGTAGAAAGGGAAAATGGTAGAGTGCACGTTATATGGACCAACTAAACCTAACACCTTGTTGGAAAAGCAATACACTATACTATAACGAAAATGCAAACTGTCAAGTTACAATCAATTTTCCTTGATTTCTAGATACGCTGGTGATGAGACTCAATGCTACCGATGCGGATGAACCAAATAATTTGAACTCAAAAATAGCTTTCAAGATCATAAGACAGGAGCCTTCCGATTCACCAATGTTTATTATCAACAGAAATACTGGAGAAATTCGGACGATGAATAATTTCCTAGACAGAGAGGTAATTTCTTTTTCTTTGAATGGGTTGTCAGTCTCAAAGGAACTAATTCTGCATGCAAGAGTACCTAAGAAAGAAAAAGAAAATAATATTTTTAAATTTTAATTACATAACATTTTCACCTATGGGAATGACACAAGAAATCTCTTTAAAATGAAAAAATGGGAATTCCTCAAATACATTTTATGCTGTCATTTTTCATTTAATCTTACTTAGGATTTGCCTCAATTTAAGAGCACTATATTTTGAGAATACATAAAAATATACATAAGATAGAGGCAAAAGCTCCATTTTGTTTTTTTTTAAAAGAGTGTTTCATAATGAAATAAATTTAAGAAACAATTGTTATCATGTCCCCCATCTTGGCAAGTCACTACGCATGTGAACACAGTAGAAGGTCCAAGAATTTTTACACACTAAGAAACTTGTTTTTCTTTCTTTAACCCAGCATATCCTAAGCACATTTGACAACAGAACTCTTTTTCCCTCCTATGTCATGCCTACTGACAGTCCACTGATTACTTTGGGAAATAATAATGGTCAGAAATGATGGACAGGAATTAAGTAACATCCAGACCAATCTTTTCGCTTGCAAATAAGAAAATAAGTAGTGATTGTTACCAAATTAGAATCAGCATTACATAGTTTCTATCATGCCGTGTGGTCTCCTAATTTAATTTAAAATATCCACTTTTTCATTATTTTTTAAATATTGATAGAATATAGCTCACCTGCATGAATTCGAGGGATATAAATGAATACGATACGCAATTAAATTTTATTTTAATTACTATAGTTATTTTAAAATGATAATCTCCCTGCTAATGACTCCTACTTTAGGGTAAATCAGATTATTTTTACACTTTTTAAATGCCATCAGTTTCTAGGTTACCTAAATCTCCTTTTTCACTTGTTTGAAAATTGCTATCAGAAGAAATTGACTATTTAGCTTTTCTCTCTTAAACTTTCTTAAAGAGCCAGTGGGATTATTAAAAGGGTTTTAGTGGCTCTAAAAAGTAAAGGAACTCTGCGGTCACTGGGAAACCACTGGAGCAAATATTCTTAAGCTGGCGTCCATGGAGAGACCTCAAGATGTCTCTATGAATCCCTAACATTATACCCACAATTCTGAATGAGTATGTATATGCACATGTGTGTGGGAAAGGCTCTGTAGCTTTTACCAGCTTCTAAAAGTTTAAGCACCATTGAGTAGACTCAAGAACAGATACATCAGCAGTAATTCCACCGCCACAACCTGCCACCCCCCAAAATGCAAACTATTTGCTATCTTTTTATTCTTCTTGCATACTCAGGGGCTGCTCATTTAGAGCATGGAATTTTCATGCCATAAATCCTTGGTAAACATTAATCTTGCTCCTCCTGATCATTGTGGTCCACTTCTCCGTTTACAAATTTTTTCAACCCTTGGACATATAATAAGGAACGAGCCCTTTAAAAGATGTTGCTTCTTTGAAATGATGCTGGATAAGCATTGTCGAGGATGCAAGTGGCGACTTCCATACTGATTCATGTGAGATTTGCGGATTTTCAATATTCTGTGTGACCCCATCTCCATCATAGATTTCTGTAAATGTTGAGCCAGCATTTTAAAAGAACCTTGTGTGAGACAGAATAAGGACTGTCATCATCAACTGTGATATTGTTTGTAATGTGAATTTTTAGCAATACAGCCAGTATTCTCTTGCTGTAAGAGGCTCAGACCGAGATGGCGGGGCAGATGGAATGGCAGCAGAGTGTGAATGCAGCATTAAAATCCTCGATGTCAATGATAACATCCCTTACATGGAACAGTCTACAGTAAGTACTTGTCCCTGAAATTAATAACTTTAAACTCACTACACCCTAAAATTTGGTCTAACAATCCTATTCACAGATATACATGTTATCTTTAGTCACATACAACCCAAATGTAGACACGTACATTGTCTTGTGTTTGTTTATATAATAGAATAAAAACAAATTTGAACGATGAAAAGTGAGACTATAAACAGATCCCTTTTCTAAACAATGACTGTAAACATTCTAGTATAAGTCTAGCATAGTTCTCTCCGTCACACGATTTGTGTTAACATTTTCTACTTCTTTTTTCAGTATGCCATCGAAATCAAAGAAAATACTCTCAATTCAGATTTGCTCCAGATTAGAGTAATTGATCTGGATGAGGAGTACTCAGCTAACTGGATGGCAGTCATTTTCTTTATCTCTGGAAATGAGGGAGGTTGGTTTGACATAGAAATGAATGAAAGAACAAATGTAGGAATTTTAAAGGTTGTTAAGGTATGATATAATTATCCTAATATTTTGTTTTCTTGGTCTTTTTCAAAATGTTAATCTTAAAATGATGCTAATATTTCACAAACTTGAGTGGGTAAAGAGTAAAAAGTACTGTGTTTTAAAATAATATATGAGATAGGGCTGTTTTATAAGGAGTTTTTCTACTTGTATCATTTCATGAAAATAGGCATTGTACTGTAACTTGAAACTCTTTTCTATCAATACAGTACTCTCTCACAGATCATATAAATTCAAAGCATTTTTAAACATGAATCTTATTTTACACCTACAACAAAGTAGGACTAATGCATAAGGTTTTGTTTTAGATGTTTGAAGAATATTTTTTAAAGCAGATTTAATGTGGCCTTCAAAAAAAATGTGTCCAGGGGCCGGCCTCATGGCCGAGTGGTTAAGTTCACGCACTCCACTTCAGCAGCCAAGGGTTTTGCCGATTCACATCCTGGGCACGGACATGGCACCGCTCATTAGGCCATGCTGAGGTGGTATCACACATGCCACAACTAGAAGGACCCACAACTAAAATATAGAACTATGTACTGGGGGGATTTGGGGAGAAAAAGCAGAAAAAAAAAAAAAAACACTGGTAACAGTTGTTAGCTCAGGCACCAATCTTCAAAAAACAAAAAATGTCCATGTCAAAATTGTATGTCAATTATTTGCAGTAAGAATATCCATCATGTAAATTAAAAATTGCTTATCCCACCAATGTGGTGGGGTTTTTTTTGGTGAGGAAGATTGGCCATGAGCTAACATTTCTTGCCAATTTTCCTCTTTTTGCTTGAGGAAGATTGCCCCTGAACTAACACCTGTGCCAATTCTCCTCTATTTCGTATGTGGGACACTGCCACAGCATGGCTTGATGAGTGGTGTATAGGTCTGTGCCAGGGATCTGAACCCGCAAACCCCAGGCCACTGAAGCAGAGTGTGCAAACCTAACTATGCAACCAGGCCAGCCCTTCCAATGTGTTTTTATAAAATTAAAATTAAATTACTGCAATTTTAGGATTATCACATTCTCATCTCACTGTGGCTGCTGACCAAGGCTTACTACAAACATAAATATACCAGAGATTTGGTCCAAGTCAGCAGAGTTCTCCTATGTCCCCCCCAACATTAATGATCCACCACATTTACCTGCAGTAGAATTTCCTCTGAGACGTGAGAAGAAAAATGTCTGACTTTTAGGGAAGCCAATAGTGAAGGTTTCACCCTGTGCTACAAGACTTGTCAAGTCTATTTTTTAAATCTTCAATAGCTGTGCATGTGGACTGTGTGTGATGCATGCAATGTGTTTTCTTCATGGTAAAATGTAATCCCTTTTTAACTATTTCTTTCCTTCAGAACAGCCTTAGGAAATAGAATCTTAAGGAATTCTTTCCCCATAGGAATGTGTGTCTTCATAAAGTGTCTTCAAAAAGTGTCACCATGCCTATAGCTTCCATTTACTGAGGCAGTGTGTGAACGCTATAGTTTATTCCTCACAGCATCCCTGCACATTAGGTTATATGCTCATATGGCAAATAAATACACTGAGGTTCAGAGAGAGTATGTAATCTGCTCAAGTTCTCATAGCTAGTTAAGTGTACAGCTAACATTCAAACCTAGATTTCTCTAGCTATTAAGTTCATCTTCTTTCCATTATCCTATCTAGGATTCCATGCTGGGAAAACTGAGTCCTAATATATTTCACCTCAAATTACTATATTACTTTAGAAAATTAGTCTGTCTGTTCTCAACATCTCTATCTGTAAATGAGAACGATGTTGATTTTTCTCCCAGATGTGACATCATATATCATTCCTTTGTTGTGATTATATATATGTAATGTATGTGTGTATGTGTGTGTAATGTATATGCATCCATGATTTTATAGTCAGTCTTGGAACTGCAAATAAAGATAATATTAGAGCAAAGATTGGAAATTTTAGCTAAGTGGAGAGTTCAGTGGGTGAATCAATGGTCATCTAAATTACTCTCATGTGAAAATTTAGAAAAATACATTTGGTACTTACAGGCATAACACATAGTTGTTCGTGGATTTTATGAGTAGTGGATATTGACACCATCTTTCATAATGAAAATGACTACTTTATTTTATAATATAAAATAATTTCTTTCCAGAGTATGTAGAAGAAAATAAGGATTTCTTTTTATTATTTATATACTGCGTTCTATTACCTAACTTATTGAAAGAAGTCATATTTACAGAAGTAAAATTTCTTTTAAACAGTTCTTTATGGATAAAATCAGTCAAAGGATTGAATCTGAGATGTATTCGGCCCATGCTTTGTAATATATAGAGCTATTTTCTGAGAAACATAAAATGATAGAAGTTAACATAAACTGTCTTTGTACCACAAAATGCATGGATTTGACAAACTATATTAAGTTTTTAATTTATTTGGTGGACAATTAGAACTCATGTCATACATTTTCAACTATTTCAATGAAGGATCTAGGACAATTGGATTTTTTTCCTACTATATTTTCATGTGTTTGTATTGAATTAAAGATAAAGAAAGTAAGAACAGATTGTGTATTTATATGTATTTATATTTAATTAAAGAAAGCAGGAATTTTTTTGCCTATTATCAAAGAATTTCTCTTTCTTCTGGAATGTTTTTCTTCTTATAGTAAAACTCTTTTACTGTGTATTTTCTAGCCCCTAGATTATGAAGATGTAAAGAATCTGCAACTTAGTATTGGTGTTAGAAATAAAGCTGAATTTCATCATTCAGTTATGTCTCAATATAAACTCACAGCAACTGCGATCTCCGTGACTGTGTTAAATGTAGTGGAAGGCTCGGTGTTCCGTCCAGGTTCAAAGACATATGTAGTAACTAGTGATATGGGACAAAATTATAAAGTGGGAGACTTTATAGCTACTGATCTGGACACAGGTCTAGCTTCAACAACTGTTAGGTAAGACTGACATTTTCCAACTAATTTTCACCACATATTGAACTTAAGTTCGATTTTCTTTTTAGAAATTTTAAGTATCTGAGTTAAAACATTTTTCATTAATTTTGAAACCATTTATTCAATCATAATAAGTGCCAACTACTGAAGTGTTACTTAATTTAGAGTGTTTAACTTAAGAAAACACAAAAATTTGTACAAAATGTAAGATGTAAAAACGTAAAGACGTAAAATGTGAAGATATTGTATCTTGAAAGTTTCACTCGCCTATGTTTACATATTTTGTTGACCAATCATTAGCTGATTCCAATAAATCATGGTTATTCCTCTTGGAAGATTTTATGGACTGATTTTCCCACTGAAAATTTGCCCAGACTGAAATCAATTAGATATAGTCGGTTCATTTCAGTTACTTTCTTCACTTGAATCATCTCTTAGTATGGGTCAATAATAACTTTGATATAAAAAATTAGTTAAACTAAAGAAAAAGTATGCTATGTAATTTTTCTACTTGGTCATGAAAAATCTGTGCATATACGTGCACATGTATTTTTCACATGTGCTTGTGATCAAGAATAACAGAGGGGGAAGACCTCACAAATGAGCTTTAAAAGTTCTTTCTTTGTATTCTCCTCACATCATGTATTTCTGTGATAGCTCTTATCACACTGTACCACCATTGCTGATAAACTGTCTTGTACCCCACAGATGTGAGTTCACCAAGGGCAGATAACCCCCCAGCCTAACCCTGTCTCCTCTCAGAAGTTCCATTTCCCTAGGTTTATCACGGTGCCTGAGACAGAGCTATCTAACCAGTGCTTGTTTAACAAATATGTAAATGAGAAGGAAAACATCAAAGTCACAGATGAGGAGAGAAAGAGAATAGAATAGGATAGAGGCACGAGGCAAAGACATGGTTTGGAATTCAAAAGAAGTCCTGTAAAGTCATCGTGTACATTGTGCATATGGGAAAGGGGTGTGGAAATAGGGAGGGGATGAAGGCTAAGCTGACCAAGGAGAAGCAACTTCTTTGGTAAGAGAATAGTTTAGAATGAGGAGCAGCCCAGGGAGTCCTGAGATCTGGGTGCTCCAGGATAGTTTTGATGCTACCAAAATCAAATAAAAAATGAGGCTGCAAGCATCGAGGATTATTCTGACATCCATGTGGGCATAAGAGACATTCCACCAGAAGTGGCTGCTCAGTAATTCCTTTTTTCTTCAATTTAAATCTTTGTCTATTTTAGAATGTCCTCAAACAGCTGGGACAACCCTGAAAAAAATAAAGTCTCTAATAATTGTTAATTATATCCAGGGGTTATAGCTACTGATTGGAAACATACATTTTATAATTAAAATCTCTCTCTCTATCTCTTTGTTTTTAGATAGCTAACATTAATTGGTACTGTTTTCTTTCAAACACAGATATGTAATGGGAACTAATCCAGCTGACTTGCTTGCTGTTAACTCAGAAACGGGCATAATTACTTTGAAAAATAAAGTTACCAGGGAGCAATATGACATGCTGAATGGAAAATACCAAGGAACAATTCTATCTATAGATGGTAAGAAATCAATTTAACTTTGTCCCTTCTAGAGGAAGTTACATATTCACTCTGAAATTAAAATTTTAATTACTGTATTTTGAAGTGACTCTTTTTTCCAACAAAAGTTAACATACTGGGCATTATAGAATCAAATCTTTAATAATATTAGAGACGGTATAATTTAGTGGATAAGACCGTGAGCTCTGGAGGGAGACGGGGTTGGTATCTTACACCATGACTTACTAGCTATAGGATTTTAGAGAAGTTATTTAACTCATTCATCCCTCAGTCTCCTCTTCTGTACAATAACAAAATGGATTTAAAAGTATTTAATGAGTTCTTACATGTAAAGCACTTAAGAGAGTGTTGACATTCAATAAATGTTAGTTCTTATTAACGTCAGTAATTGAAATTTTTAAATTGCATTTTAAAATAATTTTCAAATAGTTAGGCTAGAAGCCAAGCTAACTTAACTTTACCTAATCTTGGGAAAGTTGATGGACAACTTCGTGTAAACAGTTTGGAGGTGGCATGCTTACATTACTTTTCACAACCAACAAAATTCAACAGGCTGGTCACCGAAGGAGCAACGTTTCTCAAGGCTAATTCTACTGAGCAATATTTGCTATTTCAATTCCTCTTCCTCCCTCCTATCTTCTTCTCTCCCTGTTTTTTTCTCCCTCTCTTTTCCCTCTTTCAGCTGTCCTAAAAAGGGGTTGACAATTTCTATTTGCATAATAAATTAAAAAGAAATAAAATAGTACTTTTTAAAGTCATTCAACTATTCAGAATTTTTACCAAATTATACTGCTCTTTTCCACAATCAGTCAAAATAAATGTCGGTTTTAAACTATATATTATAAATAGAAATGCTGATTCCATTCACAGATAAAGCTTGTTTTGATTCAGTGCTGAAATTATCTTAAGCAACTGCCAGTTTACTACTTTTCTTATATCCAACATCCAACAATTGCATACGTGAAGGGAAAACTAGAACTTTTGCTTCCAAAACTGTTAGGCTCATAGGAAATAGAGAGCATTTCTTTTGTCATCAAAAAATGCAACCTTCTGGGGGATAAATATTACATGCAATGATAATGATAAAAATAGCAACAAAAACGATAACAATAGAATCAGCATAGCTGAGCTCAGAGGGCATGGGCTTTGCTATCAGATACACTGGATTTAAGCTTGTCTCTGTTACGTACTTCCAGGGCTGTCTTTATTCATTTATTCAGAAACTATACATCGAATCCTAACCAAATACCGGCCATTGCGACAGGTTCTCGGGTTACATCAATGGGCAAAGTCTGACAACACAGCTCATGTTTATCTAACAGAGATAATGACAATAATTTCAAACACAATCATTCCTGTATTTTTATTCAACTCCAATAATCTTAAGAAAAAGTCCTAAATATAAAAGGCTGAATGCACAGAGATATTAATTATAACATTATCGATAATAATTAAATATTGAAAGCAAGATCAATAATAGGTAACTGGGTAGGTAAGCCATGGTCCACTTGATATGAAATTATGTAGCCATCAGAAACTATTTTAATGAAAAATTTATTTAAACATGGAAGAATTCTTACAATGCAAAGTAAAAATACAAAATAGGAGTCATATGATCTATCAATGTAACAAAAATAATTAGCAAATTTTAAGCATTATAATTAAGACCAAAAGATAATACAACAACATATCAACAGCAGTTGTCCTTGGGTAGCACTAGTGTGGGTCTGTTTTTGTCTTTGTTTTTGTTTTGCTTCTTTATATAATTCTATACTCTTCAAATTATATATAATATCCAACTGTTTATAATGTAAAGAAATAATCCAATAAATAGTGTTACTAGTAATAATAATAAAGTTGACTGTAATAATGATTCAAAAAGTTCTTGAGAAAATTGTATGCTATGACACACGGAAAGTGTCTTGGTGGGCACATAAATATTGTTACTTCTCTTCCCTTGCAGCTGGGCAAAACACATTTAGCTTTAGATTATCTGAGTTTACAGACAGGAGTAGTGTAATGTGAACACAATTTGAAAAGTAAATCACATTTTCTTTAAAAATAAAGATACACTATAATGATTTTTGCAGTAAACTTAACCTCATAGATATGGGTTGCAGAATATTTAAAAGATTAACTGTTTAAAATATTAAAAACAATCTACATGGCTCAAAGCATTTAAGGTAGCAAAAAAAGGGCTGGGGGATGGGGACGATGGGGAGATGTTGATCGAAAAGCACAAACTTCTAGTTATAAGATGACTAAGTTCTGTGGCTCCAATGCACAGCAATGTGATTATAGATAACCAAATACAAGGAGCTTCTATTAAATTTAAATAGTATGCGGAATATGCTGACTTTATTTGTCTGAGGTAAATAACCACAGTACATGTTTTTAATACTGGCCTGAGCAACTTTTCTCTTTTAAAAGTATCTTCTTTATCACCTCTCACAAATACTATTTTTTTGGCTACATTGTTATAGAAGACATAATTATTTGATAGCTTTTAATGGGCCAATTATGTTGCAAGATAAGGACACAAATATAGATTCAGATCTATTTCTTACTCAACTTTATTAAGATATAATAAGTACATCCTTTTTAGGTGTACAGCTTGATGAGTTTTGACAGATGTATACATCTGTATATACACTGCCACAAACAAGATCTAGAACATATTCATCACTGCAAAGAGTGCCCCTGCTGGTCTAAATGTAGATGTATTTTGATGTACTACCTTTTGTATCAAATGTACTCAAAATCAGTCTACTCTTTTGAAATACTAGCTGGTTGGTTGGTTGGTTGGTTGGTTGGTTGGTTAAATGAAATAAACAGCAAGCGTGAAGCAATGAAGTTGAAACAAATAGCAAAAGTCCCTACCTCTGCTTTTAGTTAACAAACACAATAACTTATTGAAATTTTGAAGGACCAGAGGAAAACAAATTTGAAATAGCTGCTTGTGAAACAAAAATGCTTCACTTTCTTATTGATATGAAGATTTCCCCCCACCTCCGATAGCACCAATTCTCTCTCCTATGAGTTATGGGAACTGTTGGCTGTGAGTTTGGGGGTATGTTGCTTTATCCCCAGATTTTTGTAGAAGTGACTTCCCAACCTGTTCAACATCTGTTCATTTTGTCAGTGTGTAAAAGGGAAACAATAAATAAGAAACAAAGATGACAGACAGTAAAACAACAAACAAAATCTAGCTCTAACATATGGAGAAGATTGCAAAAAATAGTCTAGAATTGTCCCCACTATGGTTTATAACACACCACTGGCCAATCCACAATGTGGCATTTACTGTTTATGTTTCTCAACACATGAGACGGTTTTTCAGGAGCACTAATATTCATAATGGTTTGATCTAAAAATTGAGTCACAGACAAAGGATGATTTGGGGAGTTACCAAATTGATGGGAATAAAGACACTGAAATAAGTATTGATGAAAAAAGAAAATAGTTTTGTATTGTCCAACAACCATTACAAATGTATAAAATATTTCTTCCATTTTGAACCTTGTTACAGATGCTCTTCAAAGAACTTGTACTGGTACAATTATTATTGACCTTCAGGGTAATGGCTGGGAAGTTGGTGGACCTGGCACACCAGGGGGTGGACGTGATACCGGTACTAGCACAAAGGAGACCCCTGGTCCTGACATTGTTATCAATACAGAAACCCCTGGCAATGGCCCAAATACTTTAGTTGGAGGGCCCGATAGTTTTCCAGATCGAGGACTACTCTCAGATAATGTACATTTTGGTCCTGCTGGCATTGGACTACTCATCATGGGATTCTTGATCCTGGGACGTAAGTACTTTAACAGTCCTATTTATATGTGCCCCTAACATACTGTGGGGAGAAGATAAGTTTTCTGATCTTTTGATAAAATATATTTTACAAATTCTTATTTTGTGTAATTATCATGAAATGTCTATGTTTGGTACTGATTTAAAAACAGTTAACTGCTTAACTCCTTATAGTGCAGTGGAGGATAAAAACTCTTTTGCATTCTGTCTCAAGGTAATGGGAAAGTATCATAACAGGTAGGTTCCAATTGATATTTGAGTGAAGAAGATAATCAGAAACAACTGACTGAAACAATCAGAAAAGGCAAATAGAGAAAGTAAACTCTGAGTTGGATGTTAACAGATGAATAGGAGCTGGCCTGACGGACAAGAAAAGGGGAATGCTCCAAGGAGAAAAAAATCTATGTGCAAAACCTCAAAAGAATGAGCGCAAGTTACTGAAATAAAGGACCCCAATGTGGGAGAAATAAAGGATACACACGACTGCATCGTGAGAGCTGAGACTGGAAAGACAGGCAGGGGCTAGACCTTGAAGGAATTTCGTGCTGTGCTAAGGCTACAAAGCCTAATGAAAGGAGAGTCAAATAGAGGTAGACTTAAACTCCAGCTTCTAAATTTAGTGGTCTGAGCGTGTCAAAGGTTACCTAACTTTTCTGAGCTTCACTTTTGTCATCTGTGAAATAATAAGACTTACCTCATAACATTGCTTTGATGTTGGAAAAGTAGTACCACACGTGGAATACTTAGAGATAGACCACATTCTGTGGTCATTACAGTAGACCTAGTCAAAGATCTAGCCAGGAGCATATAACAACCAATGGATTCTCAAGGTGGCCCTTAACATTGCCTTTGATGATGACAGAAATTAGTGTGGAGATGAGCTAGATGCTGCAGGCTCTGAGGAATAAGGGGAGCTCTGAAATAAGCAGGTTGAAATCTGCACATTATAATGAAATTAATGTAAGCACTGCCATTTTCAAGTATAGAATCATAAACTCTTAGTGTCAGAAGATACTTCAGATATTATTTAATTAAAACATATACACATAAAATATGAAATCAGAGCACTTGCATATGAGATACTTTTTCTACCTTCATTTCTCTTAATACACAAACAACCATAAAATGGATAATTCTCACTATATTTATTAGTAAACTGGATTTTCTCTGATTTTAAATAACTTTCACCCTTTTGAACTTTTTGATCAAAACTGAATTCATCTAAACCACAAAGAGTTTGGACATGCTGATAACACAACTTAAAGTTGAGGCTCTTTTTCCATAATTTAAAATATGTTTCAAAAAACAAGAAATTTCTATATTAAGTAATACGATTGCACTCTTATTGGCTCATAATAAATTGAAATAATGGCCATGTTAAGTTCCATGAAAAGGAGAAACAAGGCTAAAAAAAAGAAAGCATTCTCATCAAAATGAACCAAAGCAAGAAAAAAGCTAGCAGATTTGCAGAATATAACATAAAATATCTATGAGAAGAGATAATTCCCTAATTTCACTTCTTTGAATTATCAATCAACATTTCAAAACTTTAAAATTTAATACTTTATAAAGGTCACTTAATTACCCTGGTGCTGATTATCTCTACCACCGGGAATATAGGCTATCACTATGAGTTTGTTTTTTATATTGGTGACTACCTTTGAGTAGCGTAATTAATAAAAGATTTAAAAATTGTACATGGGCTTTAGAGTCAAATTCCTCTAGAGTCAAAGCTATCTCTAAGCCTAGCATATATTCAAGAAAGCAAAACACACGGGATTCTTTTCCTGCTTGCTTTCTTTCTTTCCTCTCTCTGCTATTACTATCCATACTATATTTCTTCCTCCATACCTTGCTTTCTTCTTTCTTTCCTTCCTTCCTCGCATTTTTCATTTACATCTTCTTTCCTTCATTCATCCATTCATTCCAAATCATTTATCAAGATCATATTATCTAAAAGTCTCTGTGCTAGAAACTTATATAGATAAATAAGAAAAATCCAATTGATTAACAGAAAAAGACATTGTTAAGCAGTGTAACGTTCTCTATTTGTGCACGAGTAATTTCAAGAAAAGATATCCGTGTAGGGGAAAATAATAGCCTCATAGAGAACAATAGCTTGAAGCATGAATAAGATTCTACTGTTGAAATAAAAAAGGCAGGCATGCGTGAAAGGAGAAAAATAAATAAAGTCATGGAGGAGGGAACACAAAGAATGAAACATTGCCTCCCTCTCCAGCTTTCCTTCTTCTCTCCTTTGCCATTTTCCTGAGCAATGATATGGAAAAGACTCATCTGTTTTAATGGTGCAATGCTATTTGTAATTTGAATACTATATAACAAATTAAAACTGATTGCAATCTAGTATCCTGGAGCTCACACTGATTTTGGTATCTTAGCATTATTCAGTTTGTTTTCTGAAACTTTCATCGTATTTTTGGACTCAAATGGAGTTATATTAAGGATTCAAGTTTAATCATAAAAATGCACGTTGTTTTGTTGCAATACGGCCCCACTTCTAATTCCAATATTCCTATCCTTTCACCATCAGTGGTCCCATTTTTGTTGTTGTGTTGTGATTATGGAGGTGCCTCTGGTGGTGGAGCCGGCTTTGAGCCTGTTCCCGAATGTACAGATGGAGCAATTCATTCATGGGCAGTAGAAGGACCACAGCCTAAACCCGGGGTAAGTGCTAATCTGTGAGAAATGGCCTTTGGTTGTCACCTAAATTCGGGCCTAGGCACACAAACCAAGATGCCTGCGATCACTCACCACCTATGCTGTTCTTTGTTCTGGGGTAGCCGATGGGGAACATGAACAGACATCAAAGGTACATCCAAATCAGATGGAAGCAACCACGGGAGGCTTTCTGAATGAGGGTCAGGTTTTAGATGAATTTCAAAAGTTTCCTAAATAGTATTCTTTTAGAAAATCTGAGGTAATTTGTGAACAAACCCAACGTATAACTATAGAAAGAAAAGAGTCATTACAAGTGGGAAAATGTCGTTCCCTGTCTTGTAGGATTTCGCCACTGTCTGTGTACCACAAATACCACCCGATAATGCAAATCTAATTGAATACATTGACACCTCAGGTAAGAAAAAATTATTTTTTTTATTTTAACAGCTCGATGACTAGGAAGGAACTCTGTTCTCTGTCTTTGCATGCCTTACTATTTCTCAATTATCTTACATGTCTCTAAAATTGTTTCTATCATTCCTTTTTAAATGATTAATTTGAAAATTAAATGGTAAGGGAAAACCTACAGTAATCATTATTCTGATATGTTGTACTTTTTTAAATCTTCCTCAATCATCAGAGAGCACTTACGAGATGACCTGGTTTAGGACTTCTATAAACAGGAGAAAAGAACTGAATTGTAACCACAAGTCAATTTTGGTCAAGGTTTTTTGTCTAGTAGAGCAAATGTTATTTACCAAAAAGTTACTAATTAGAATTAAAGTACAACTCTATTAAAATAGATCTGTGCTCATTTATTGAGGCTAGAATCTACCTCCACAATTCATTAATAATTCAAAATGACTCTAATACAAAAGAACAATTTTAAAAACTCATATCTTGGGAAATAGTTGTACCATTTTGCCTTTTTTCAAGGTAAATATTCTTGATTCTCTTATTTTTCAGTGTCTTTTTTCAAATTTGCAATCATGACTTTTCTACTTGAACTCTTTAAAATAGAAGAGGCATAGGAATGTTTGTAATTTGTGGACCCAAACTGGACCTTATTCAAAAGACTGACATGCTAGTCTTTAAACCTATTTCTTCCCCTGATGAATCCAGTTTTGTTACCAATATACCCCCACCTCAATAGCAGAAACTCACTGTTGACTCTTACCTCTCCCGATTCATTGACATCTAATCAGTTCTAAGACTTCTCAAATCCTCAAACCCATCCGGATTTATTTATGTATTTATTCCCTCAGTATGTCTACAGATCTTTGCCCAAACCTTGAACAAAGCACAATGAGAGGCACCAGAGTAACAGAAGTATGAATAACATACTGTCCTTAAGCTCAAGATCTTTAAAATATTGAAGCCATAGGATACCTATCCCACTGTCAACACTTTCTCTGTCTGTGGCACTTCCATAGTCTGGGCCATCATTTCATCTCACCCACCTCGAAGACTGTAAGAGGCTTCTACTCATCCCTCACATCCAAGTGCAAAGCCAAGATTCTCCACGCAAACCTTTCCCCTCACCATAGCTTCGGCCTCTTCTCTGAAATCTAGCGGTTCTCAAACCTTCTTCTGGAGGCCCTGTGCTTTCTAATAATACATTGAGGTATTCTTAGGCTATTTTTTCAACTTTTAGAACTTGGGTGTTTTTCCCCAATTGGAAATCAAACTCTCTAAGTTATAGGTTTTTGTAAGCTCCATGCAGCCCTCCTATTCCAACACAACATATAGCAGTCTCCCAATAAGTAATTACTGAATTAACAAATTGATTAATAATATTATTTTGAACTCAATATCATATTTATATCTCCTTACTTTATGTATTGCCTTCATTTTATTTCTTGGCTCACAAACCGTATACTTAAATGAAGAAACCATACATTACAGTAAGTGATTAATTACCGAGAAAGTAAATTTAATTTGATCGACACTTTTAGGGGTTTACACAAATGAGTATGGTGGCAGAGAAATGCAAGACCTGGGAGGAGGAGAAAGAACAACAGGATTGGAAGTAACAGACGGAGTTAAAACACCAGGAGTACCTGAGACATGTCAAGAATATTCTGGCACATTAAGAAGAAATTCTATGAGGGAAGGTAGAGAAGGAGGTCTGAATATGAATTTCATGGAAAGTTACTTCTGTCAGGTAAGGTCTCGAGCCCCATGCCTTCCTCTCCATCCTGTACCCACTGCTCTATGCCAGGCGTCCGCTACTTCCCAACAGGGCTTTGGCAGGTGTCTCCTAACCGGGTTCTCAGCCTCTAGTCTTTATGCCTGACAATCCAGATTACTGATGAATAATACTTCTAAACCTCTGACCTAAGCACTTTACTCTGCCACTTAAAAATGGCCAATGGCTCCCAGCTCTGCTTTGCGTATGGCATGGAGTCCAAACTCAACATGGCAATTAAGGTTATTCACAAATTGACCCCTTCTGTCACATCTCCAATTATTCCTTACCACCAACCCACTTGCCAAGCGCCTCTGCCTTATTCACACCCATCTATTTCCCTCCATGTGTTTGCTTATGCTGTGCCCATCCCACAATGCTTTTATCCCATCATATCTCTCACAAACTCCTACCCACCTTTCAAGACCCAGTTCAAATATCACTGCCCCTCTGAAGTTTTCACTGTTAAGCATTTCATCCAAATAGGATTTATGTTTTCCTATCTGTATTTCTATAGCACTTTGTTTATACATTTTATAGAACATACTGTTACCACAATCAAGTAGAGACAGAAGTGCCTGCGGTTATACACCACACGATACTTAAGCCTGCAGGGATTTACTGTCTCTGATACATTAATGTTCTTCTACATCCTGGCCTAAAATATCTTCATTAACTCTCCTAATGGCTTAGAGGGTAGCTGCTATTTTGAAATAAAAGACTAGTAAAAGGCTTTCAAGGTGCTGGTCTGGTGGTGTAGTGGTTAAGTTTGCATGCTGTGCTTCAGCGGCCCAGGCTTCGTGGGTTTGAATCATGGGCAAGGACCTACACAGGGCTCATCAAGCCATGCTGTGGTGGCATCCCACATACAAAATAGAGGAAGATTGGCATAGATGTTACCTCGGGGCAAATCTTCCTCACCAAAAAAAAAAAAAAAAAGCCTTTCAAATAAGCAGTAGATAATTTAAAAAAGCGCATTGCTGAAATCCACAGGAATACTTCCTATCCATGTCTCTACAAATGAACGTTATTTTCAGGAAAAGTACAATTCTGCCTCAAAACTTTTGCACTTGCAGCTCCTTCTGCCCAGAACACTATATCTGCTTTATTCCCCTGTCACTTTATTCCATCACTTTATGAGATGCCATTGTTGACCACACTGTATGAAAGAGCAACCCCCATCACACTCAGTCCCTTACCCTGCACTTCTCACCTCCTGACAAGCATGCTTTTGTGTTGTCTGTTTCATCCTACCAAAATGGAAGCCCTATGAGTGAGGGACTTTATCCGGTTTTGTTCATTACCACATTGCCAAGTCCCTAATAGAAAGTCTGACAAATAATAATAACTCAATAAATATTTTTGAATGAAATGAGTTAGTTTGCTATAAAAGTATTTCTGACACTTAACCTGAAGGCTTGCAATCCAGTATTATGAACAGCAAAGATGAAATAAAAGTGTACATCTGCAGGCTTTCACTTTGAATTGAAGGAGATTCTATTTTTTAAAATTGTCTTTGGTCACCTTCAATTTTTGAATCCAAAAGTGGCATAGACCCAGAGTCAAATTTTCCTGTTGTTTTGTTGAAAAAGCCACATTGAAATAAATCTTCACAGAACCAACATGTTCACTCCATGAAGGAAGGAAAACACAATCCTGAATGAGCCCAAATCCATCACGAACTAACTTTTTAAAACAAATTTTAAAAATACACACTTTTGTGTACTTCAAGTTCAGCATTTTTATGTACCTCCTTCTATTTTGGTTACGAAATAATTCATATGATTTTTTTTGTGCTTTTGTGTCCAAAGTGCACTATTATGAAGAAGTACGTCTAAATACACTTTAAAAATCAAAATGTATTATCTGAATTACAGTTATAATTTCTAACCAAATTCTTGCAAGCAATATTATATAAGGATTTTTAAAGCATCTCTAACAGATGTTAGAATTTTGTTTTATATATTCTTGTTTGGTAATGCCCTGGTAGAAAAAATAATGATGAAGACTTCTATTATTGTTAAATATGTATTCATAATTTCATTTTCTCTCTCCTCTACAAATTCAGAAAGCATATGCTTATGCAGATGAAGACGAAGGACGCCCATCCAATGACTGTCTGCTCATATATGACATTGAAGGTGTAGGTTCCCCTGCTGGCTCCGTGGGTTGTTGTAGCTTCATTGGAGAAGACTTGGATGATAGCTTCTTGGATACATTGGGGCCTAAATTTAAGAAGTTGGCAGATATCAGCCTGGGAAAAGAAGTTGAATCATATCCAGACCCTGATCCCTCTTGGCCACCTGAGCGCACTGAACCAGTTTGCCCTCAGCCGGGAACAGAGCCCATTGTTAGTGGACACCCACCCATCTCCCCACATTTCGGCACTACCACAGTCATTTCTGAGAGTACCTACCCCTCGGGACCTGGTGTACAGCATCCTGTACCTATTCCTGATCCTCTGGGCTATGGTAATGTCACTGTGACCGAGTCTTACACCACCTCGGGCACTCTGAGGCCCTCTGTCCACGTTCATGATAATCGACATGCATCAAACGTGGTGGTGACAGAGAGAGTGGTCGGCCCAATCTCTGGAGCTGATTTTCATGGAATGTTAGACATGCCTGACTTGACAGATGGGTCAAACATTATAGTGACAGAAAGGGTAATAGCACCAAGTTCAAGTCTACCCACCACTTTGACCATCCCTGATCCTAGAGAGTCTTCAAATGTGGTAGTGACAGAAAGAGTAATCCGACCAACTTCTGGCATGATGGGCAGTCTGAGTATGCACCCCGAGTTATCAAATGCCCAAAACGTGATTGTGACAGAAAGGGTTGTCTCTGGCTCTGGCATAACCGGAATTAGTGGCCCAGTCGGGATAAGTGGAGGCAGTGGCCTGGTTGGCAGTGGGGCTGGAATAAGTGGTGGTGGCATGGGGCTGAGCAGCCTGGGAGGAGGTGGGGGCCTGAGTAGCAGTATAGGGGGGACAGCCACTATTGGCCACATGAGGAGCTCCTCTGACCATCACTTTAGCCAGACCCTTGGATCCACCTCCCCTAGCACAGCCCGAAGTCGAATCACAAAGTACAGTACAGTACAGTACACCAAGTAGCCAGGATCCCAGCACACTTTTCCTCAGCAATTGTGATTTTGGTTCAATTACCACCACCAAAAAACTAACAATGTGATTTATGACGCACAACTAGGTGCTAAGGTAATTGTGGAGAAAGGTAAGAAACCACAGTGAGAAAAATAGATGGAAATTGTGCTGTTGGGTGAGAGCTGGCCTTAGCATTTGTAAACTTTTTTCTTAAGTTAATACTAATGGAATTGTGACAGTGAACTGAAACTTGAGACAGGGTCCTCTTTGTGCCTGTGTGGCCTGTCAGGTCTTCTTCGCTTCTGTGTGGCTGTAGTGTAACTCCAGCACGTGCAGTAAATAAAACTCGGTCACGTAAAAGCATTGGCCTTAAGATGGCAATTGGCATAATTCTCCTTGGCTGTTTTGATTTGCCATGTAGCTCAGGCAATATTTAAAAAGAATAAAACAGGCAATACGTGATCATGTTTGTGGGAAGAACTTCAAATATGTGCCAAATGCTCTGTCAGTTTCAGAGATGATATAAATAAAAATCTAACCACATATTCAGACCGGGGTTAACCATTAAAGTAAAAAAATTTGGCGACACAGCCAAGTTCACAAGCCACCAAGCACGCCTACCTTAATAATTGCACTAGATAAAATAAACCTCAATTTAGGAAATGTTTCCTGGGAGGGAAATTCCATAAGAGAGTGGCAACAGAGTGAATTCGTTTGGGATAAACTGGCAATGTCTGAGCCTAAATCTTGAGATGGGGCTTCAGCTAAAATTCCCTTGGAGTCAAGGACTTTTCCGATTCTACTTCGTGTTTAGTGGTAGATGCGTTATTAATGAATACGGTGTCCTGGCGAGGCTGCAGGATACCATGCTAATTTTCCCCTTTACACTGTGGCTCCAACTTAACAAAGGAAAACCTGCCAAGTGTAGTTTTCAGCTTGAAGCTAGTAACAGCTGACATGGTCGTCACCACTGGTGGTAAATTACCTTCCAAGGAAGCAGCCAGGAACCGAATTATATTTTCAGATTGTGTTTTTAGTAAGTGTCATTCATTTATATCCAGCTCTTCATTACACATCTCCTAAGCTAAAGTGATTTACTTAAGCTGAGCTGTGAAAAAAAGCCTGCAGTATGGTTAAGCTTTGGGGGAATTTTTTTAAGGGGATCTACAAAATGTTTTTCGAATGTGTAAAATGTTTAATGAGGAAAGCTAGACTTGTTTGATAAAGTAACACTGTACAATTAGGTTAGTTGAGTTTAGTACTTTTTAACAGCCTTCTGCTGCTATTTCGAGGGGATCAACTAGGCACTTCTAACAGAGTGATGATATTGTGTAACAAGAATGAAATTGTACTGGACAATCCATTTCTTTATCCCACCCCCTAACTGAATTTTCTCACTAGCATAAATTTCACATTCCTGATTTGATTTATTAGTAAGCTCTTGATTTATATATGCTCCAATTTATAATTTCCAAATTATATAGTATGATATTTTTCTAGCTTCAAAATTTAGTAATGTACTATTTATGATATGTCATTCTGTGTGTTTTTTATATAGTATCACCTGGTTAAAAATCTCTAAATAGAATCAAAGCATTCTTAGAGGTAAATTTACTATCTCATGATAGAGGAATTTTTTTCCCTTTTCTAAATTCAGTGTTAATATGCTCTTAGTAAAGTGAAACTGGACATGACAAAATCTTTTAAGGATTTGTTCCTCCCAATTACTCAAATTTCCCAAACTGTTACAAGATCAGAGAATAGTTATTCAACTTCCAACACTTGTCAAAGGGGGCAGGGGAATGAATTATTTTACCTAGAGCTGTTTTGCTCTGTCACAGCAGACGATGTCAATATGTTCAGAGCCACAATATACATCTCATTTTAACTCTGTAGACGATGTAATATTTTAATAGTCTGTAGCATGCCAAAATGCAGAGGTGTAAATAAAATCATTCACGGGGAGTCACTCTTTTATTTCTTTCTCCCATTTGGAGGGTTTTATTAATGATGTGTAATCTTTCCAGAAATAAAGTCAAAAGGTATTTATTGAAATAAATTTGAGTATGCCTGGATCCAGGAGATTGAAGGAATAAAAATAATTATTAATTAGTCATTAGTTAATTCATTAAAAGGAATGGTATCTAACCACAGGTAGCTTGCTTGTCACTTCGATGCTCTATATCATCAGAAGTGTTCTCTTAAGACTCCTGATACCTTCCAGAAATGTTTCTAAGGTTGTCTAACAAAAGCCAGAGTGACTGTCTTGAATAACCATTGTTATTAAGCTCTATTAGTTATATAAAACCATGGAAGATAAGAAAAAAATTGCCATATTAGTCATCAATCTTTAAAATACTTTCAAATCAAATTGCTTTTTTTTTTTTTCAGGTTACATGTTGATGTTTTAACTCTTTACTCCTAATTTTTTAAATACGTTTTTAAGACATCAACCATTCTAACAGTCATCTAAAGGCATGTTATTTTTTTAATGAACAGCCTTTGGGCAGAATTTAATTCTTCTCTTTAAATGCTTTACTCTAACTCATAGGCTTTAGGTCATTCCATAGACCTAAGAAAAGATATGGGGATTATTTGATAAGTGAATAGTTATAATTCAAATCCATGTTGCAAGCTGCATTTCAGATCAATTTGCTTTTTAAAAAAGAGAAGAAATAAAGAGTAATTTAATTGTTATGTATATATAGTTTGAAAACAAAGTGTTTAATGTTTATAAAACATCTGACTTTCTAAAGAGGTGGCCCTTTGGGGCAAAAACTAATGTATCATAAATACTTTTCTTGTTATTTAATATCAACCAAAATACCATCTTCAGCTAATTGTGACATTGAATTCTAGATATATCTGCTAAATATTACTAGCCTCCATGTATGTTGCCTGATGAAACTGTATTTGTACTGAAAAATTTACAGAAAAAGTATCTATTTGGGGTTATTTATATAACTTCATCTGGACATCTGTTCCACATTCGCGTATAAAGTTTTTAGCCTCATTATCTTCATTCAGTGTAATGTAATGCTCCTACAGAATTCTAATTATACACCTTCAAAACCTGCATATTCACTCTAACTGAATGTTTTTAGTTATATGTACGACTCATTTCTGAATTTATACCAGTATTTGAATGTCAGTCGGGGTATAACACATATGACACCCTTTGACTTTGGTAGGAGTTTAGAGGTGTTATAATCATTGGTTAAAATGGCCATGGCTATTTGGGAAAGACATCTGAAACCCAAAACAAACTTTTAAAAGTATTGGCCACATTTCCCCATGCCTATTTAATAAATTCCAACCTTCTTTTGGATTTCTGGTATTTTTAAGATGTACTTCACATCTTAAAATACAATGGCAATGTCTGAGCCTAAATCTTGAGATGGGGCTTCAGCTAAAATACACCAGTCCACATAGATTACTAGGATCCATGAAATAGAATCTGTCTTCCAGTTCTATTCAATTATTGTTAGGACAAAAGCTTGAATGGATCAACCTATTATTCATCAAATAATTTTAAAACAATGAATAAACTATTGTTTAATTGTCTACATTCCCTCCATTTAGTTATATTTGAATGACTAAACACTATCATCAAGCTGTACTTAGTCTGACATTTTTCTTTGCTATTTTACAAATATTTTTAAACTCTGTTATTCATCTTTGGTGATGTTTAAAACATGGTGCTTTCCTTCAAGGTTCAATATAAAGCTTTTGCATTATTTGGGTGCTAGTTCCTTGCTTGGTCATCTGTTGCCTATTTTAAGTCAGTTTGTAACTTTCAAAGAGTTATGTTTACAGCAATAAAATGATTGATACGCCTCCATTATCTTTTCTGAATTGTAAGGGGGGAGGGAATTTAGACTATAACGAATAATTAGAGATTACCAAATCTAGTTATTTCATCCTATATGGGGAAGAAATAATTATTCTCACACTGTAAAACTTATTTTCATTTCATTTTCTGTTTCCTAGCTCTTTTGTTTGTTTGTTTTTATTTCTTTACTAAGGAGCTTATGCTCTAGAGTGCTGCTTAGTAATGTCAAAATAAATGATAAATAGCTTGCATTTTTAACTTTTATTTGATACTTTTAGTGCCTTTATGCTTTCACTTTTCTTTCATACTCTAACTTTTTAAATTTTTGTTTACATTAGCAGTTTATTTCTTTTAAAATGGCTTTTCTTCTTATTTGCTTTTGAAATCATACCTTTTCATCTTTATTGGGGTGCATCTCCTTTTTGCTCTCCAATGCCACTTCCAGAGCATTATCATCTTCATCTTGCACAAAACCTTACGCCTTTCAGACTCATGTGATCTGCTTATATCCCCCTTCTCCTTGTGAGATTTACCAACCTCTTAATAACATCCCCATTTTTACTGAAGATGCATATTCCGGCCCACAGTATTCTGTGACTCTCCAACTCCTGAAGGCTATTCACAGTAACTTACATGACCACATGGGTGAGGTACCAGACACCCCAGATTTTCAGTTCCTATACTTCCATTTTCCTCACTCCACTTCAGCCATCTGCTTCCTCGTCACAACCCAGCACGGCAGCACCTGGACGCTTCAATCTCACCTCCTCCTGACCGTTCCAGCTCACTTGCGTAGGTATTCCAGTTGCTGCAGTTCCTCCACTTCATCAACGTTTCCATTTTTTTTACTCCCACCGCTTTCCACTGTCTGTCAGCTTCACCTCCCTCTTGTCTAACCAAGCTTCGTGAGTCCAACCACAGTCACCTCTTGGTGAACACCTTCGATTCCTTGCCCTGCTCTCCCTCTTCATATTCCGAATCTTTCACCCTCCATCTCTGTCTGCAAACAAACAGCTAAATTATTGAGTTGACTTTTTGCATTTTAAATACTTGATCTCAAATCTCAGACTAACATCAAATGCTCGCCTACGATTCTACCTGATTCTCTGATTAACTTCCAATCTCCTTATACTAATTTGCTCTTCCATACCTTCTCTGTCCTCAAACCTCCCACACCCGCTCTTCCCTCCTCCTTCTTAGTTGATGACCGAATCCTGTTGTTCGCTGAGAAAATAAAAGTCATCAATCTCAAGTCCATTCATCTTCCTCTGCCAAATCTCCACATCCACCTGCATTTGCACCCGTCTTCCCCCCACACCTATTACAAGGGAGTTAAAGTCCTGCTCATATAAAAAGACAACCCCTCATTTGAGCTCAAGGACTTTGCTCCTTCCCTAATCACCTCTTTCCTATACCATTCCTCTCTCTCTCTCTCCCTCTCTCTCTCCTGGAACATTCCCATCAGCACCCCTCCCTGTAGCTACTGCCTCATTTTTTGTTTGATTCACCAAACTTCTTAAGACTCATGTACACATGCTTTCTTTCCTTTCTCTTGTCACTTCAGACTTCAACCCCACCCATCAGTCCATCAGAATGGCCCTTGTCAAATTTGTCTAATACCTATACATTATACAAGGTCCACTTTTCCGTGCTTGTCTTTCTTAAATTTGGGGGAGAAAGTAACTATTCTCTCTTCCTTGAAACACTCTTCTTTCTTGGCTTTTATAATACCATCTGCTGGGAATATCACTTATATTTCATTGGCCACTCTCTCTCTTATTCTCTTTTCTTTGTTCCCCATCTACTCAACTTTTAAATGGTGATGCTCCTCTAAAGTTTGGTCCCAAGACCTCTCCTCTTAACACCCTACACTGTCTCTATGAGACCTCATCCAAGCCCCTTTTAAATGTTCAAAATTAAACTTATAATTTTATCCCCCAAACATCTCTCATCCCAGTAAATGTAACCCCATTGATCCATTGCTCAAGCCAGAAACTAAGGACTCCTCCTGGATTTCATCCTTTCCTTCACCCCTCACATTTGATCCATTAGTAATTCCTGTTGATTCTATAACTAAAATATATCTCAAGCCATCTAATAGTTTCTATTAGGAGATCTGCCACGACCCTACCAGAACTGCCTCTGAAGTAGACTCTCTACACCCATACTGGCCTTCTTCAAACAATTTTCTACAGATAAGCGTATGTGGCATTCTAAAATATAAAATTAGGTTAAGCCAGGCCTCCATTTTAACAATTTCAATGGATTTTCATTGCATATCCTAGAATAGCCTACATCTGGTGTGAAAGATGACGGTGGAAAGATGATGGTGGTTTGGACTAGGATATAAAATGGAGAAGGTGAGAAGAAATGGATTGAGGAAATACTTTGGTCTTTGCAACTGGTGTTCACTCTGCATGAAACACTTTCCTCTTTATTTGCATATGGTTGCATCCTTTCATCTTTTAGGTAGCAATTTAAGTATCATTTCTTCAGAAATTCTTTCCTTGACCAACTTGTTCATTCATTCCATAGATAATTATTGAATGCCTAATAGTTGTGCCAAGCAGTGGTGATATGATGGTAAACAAAACAGATAAAGTCCTCCTCATGGAGTTTAGGTTCAGGATAGGAAGGACTTGGTGGAGACCCGACAATAAACAAGTAAACAATATATAGTGTGTTAGATAGCAGTGAATGGTCAAGAGAAAGACAAAGCAGGGCAACTTAGAATAGGGAATGCAGGACGGGAGGGATGCCTTTTTCATAAGGTAGTTGAGGCAGGGCTCTGTTATAAAGTAGTATTTGAGCAGACACCTGAAGAACATTAAGGAATAAGTCATGTGGCTTCTGCGTATGGGGCACTTCAGGCAGAGGGGACTGCAAAAATTGCAAAAGTTCTGAGGTAGGCACATACTTGGGGTATTCAAGGAAGAAGAAGGAGACCCATGTGGCTGGACAGAGTGAAAGAAAGAAAGCAGTAAGAAGGGAAGTCTGAGGGGTAACAAGGGATGAGTTTGACCTTGAGGGCCATTGTAAGAACCCAGACTTGTTCTGGGTGAAATTCATTTCACTAGAAAGCTTAGGCAGAGAAGTGCTCCACTCAGATTTGTATTTTTAAAAAATCACTCCAGCTACAATGTTGAAACTTTTGGAAGGAAACCTTGGAATCAAGGAGACTAATTAGAAAGCTACTGCAATAATCCAGGTGAGTGAGTGGTGATTGATAACCTATAATTAGGTTTATTAATGAGGGACTCCTACTATCTGGTTTCACCATGACAGCTTGGTAGCAATCCAAGCGACAAAAATGAAACAAAAACCCGGGGCCGTTTAATAAAGCAACATTTAAAAAGAAATTGGAAAAAGGGCATGAAGCAATAGATTCGTTCAAACCTCATTACAAAATGTCTTGAAAAAACTCACATGCAATAAATAAAGATAGAGGATATTAGACTGTTCAAAAAGTTTGAAAATAATGCCAGTTATTGCACATGTACTTGGTGACTGAGTTCAAATAAGACAAACTCTAGCTGACCCTGGGAAACATACTTTCCCTAATTTTACAAACAAAGCTTAATTACGCCAAACTTGGTATACCCAAGTCTGCTGTGTACTTTTGACCTAGCTATGCCCCCTTATACAAAACCTAGGGAGGAGAGCCCTGCCTCAAGAACTGTCCCAGAACTGCCCAAAGTATTATATTCCAATTACCAAAGTTTGTATCCTGTTGGACCCAGAATGTAATTTGTCACATTTTTCAAAGGAAAATACTTTATATTTTCTATGTTCAAATTAATAGATATCTCTTTCAAAATGAATGCCAGTTTCTGCTTGATAAATTATTAACCTGGGCTTCTCATATTTTAGATTGGGATTTGAGGGCAATCCGGGGTGAAGAGAATGAGGGTGAAGGAACTACTGGTCCCAAATGGGGAGACGAAACAGGGAAGAGAAAGCAGACAATAAAAGCCAGTTACCAGCATGGGCAATTGAAGCGCAACCCTCCTGGGGAAAACCCCGGGAGCCTGTGTATTACACTCATTTCAGAGTTAAGTAATCCCAGAAATGAGGAAGATCATGTATTTAGACAACAGCTACCATCAGTTATGGTTAAGGACTGCCTTTGGGCACAGAATTCTCTGTGTCTCCTGCACAAGTGAGCAAAGTGGCTATTTCTGATTTAACAGGCCTTTCTTGAACATTCTGCTGTAAAGAAGAATGGGTCATAAGTTAATCTATTGATAGACTGGATAACAAAACCCAATGGTGGAAAATATGAAAGTCTTCAGGTCTCACTTGTCATTAATCTGTACCTTTATGATATTATATCATTTAAGTTAATTAGATGCTTGCTCCATAGAGTGTTTAGACATATAATCACTCTCCGATAATACATGACTTAACTTTACTGTTACAAATTTAGGAGTGACCTTAATAGATAATTGGTTTTGATGTCTATTTACTGCCAGAAAGAAGGGCTATGAGTCAACTAAAGTCATCATTTTCTGTAGACATAGCCCCAACATTTTAATAGCTTATTTCTAACAAGATCATGCAATTCACTCAGTTTCTAAGACATATTTTTGTACCTAGGTTATTTTAAAAGGTACACCAAAAATTTTATTGTCATTACTTGAATATGGAAGTAACTAAATAACAAATTTTGAATTAATGTGTAATGCATAGGAATCAGCACTGCGACAAGCAGAAACAATAATTATTTGTCAAACACATGAATACATGCAATCCATGGATGGGTAGACTGTCATCCTTGCATTGACAGTCTATATGAGAACTGAGCCCCTAGATTACATCACATTGCTTGTCAAATTCCCACCATTCTCAATAGGATTTCTTTTTCTAAATTATTCTTTAGCATGATGATGCCTTTTTAAAATGAGGGACAATATAACTCAATTTCATTAGACTGTAAAACATATCTTGACCAATTGTCTTAAATATGCTTTGCGAAAATATATGTAAAAATTTAGACTTTACTAGTATGT